GGCAGGACTAGACTTCCTGTCTCTGGAACTTCTCTGGAGTATTTTCCCCCTCCTTTGCTGGTACTTTGCTTGCATGGAGTGACCATTCAAAGTTACACTGGCACTGAAAAAAGTGACTTATGACTATTTTTCACACTTACAACTGTTGCATCATCCCCACAGTCATGAGAGGCCAGGCGAGGAGATGCGTGCCTTGATGTGAGTGATATGGAGTTGGCTACACCCAGCCAATAACATGACCACCAAGCCACACCCACCAATTAAGCCACACCCACAGAACCAGTTGTTAAAACATTTGTATCCCACCCCTGGGCTTAACTCTAAATATGCTCATTTTCAGAACTGACCATGACCCCATCGCTGGTTATCCAAGCAGGTGAAGGGGTGGTACAAACCAAAGAGCAAGAAAATGCTGCGTCTCTTGCGAGGCTGCAGTATAACTTTGTCCAAGAAGCTAATCTACCAACAAGAAGCAGCGAGTTTTTCCTGACTGGTGAAAATGGCGGCCTGTTTCCTGAGCGGCCCAAAGCCCACCCATACGCGAAGGGGCTCGTGAAAGATTTCAGCACCACAATTGCACACCAGGGGGGTTCTCTGCATGTCACCTACGTCTCGCTCAAGCAAGATGGCAGCGGGGTTGTTCCCCAGAGTCGAGAGCAGAATAACCCTCAGCGTGCTGTGGTTGCAGGAGACGGTTCACAACAGGAAGGGCATCCCAGCGAGAGGTCACATCCGGAGAAGGAAGGGCATCCCGGGAACAACGTCGAGGCAGATGTCAACCAGTTACCAACTTCTGAAGTCCACAGAGGAACATGGGACAGAGAGGCATCCTTTGGAGGCTCTAATTCTGCAGTGAAGCATCTTGGCCCCGTCCCTGTTACCAACCAACAGGTCTTCCTTCAAGGCAACCCCACCTTTAGATGTTCCAAGTGTAGCCATCCTTTCGAGTGCAGTTCTGCAAATCTTGTGGGACAAGACGTCCCGGCCACAAACAAGTGGATGCAACTCGCCTCTTCTTCTTTTAAAGAAAAGGCTGGTAAGGTAGTGGAGAAGCCCTTCCATTGCCCCGATTGTGGGAAGGGCTTCCTTCACCTATCCAGCATCCCACGCCACCGGAGGCTCCACAAGAGAGAAAGCTCATCTCCCGATTCAGAGAAGCAGGCGTCCGACCCGTGTGCTGATTGTGGGACCTCGTTCCCTATAAAGCCCATTGTCATCAAGCGCCAGAAGCCCCCTGGGAGTGACCAGCCATTCAAGTGCCTTCTCTGTGATAAGAGCTACGGGCAGAAATACCATCTGAAGAGACATGAGCAGCAGAAGCACCAGGGGGCTGACTAAACAGGACAGCTGCTTTGGCCAAAGACAAGGGCTGCTTCCTTCTACACCTGCCCAGAAGTGACCAGGAATTTCTGGGAGAAATTTCTCCCTTCTCTTCCTTTCCTGATCAAAATTCTCTTGAAGAACAGGGGGCCTTTCCCCCAAAACTAGGACATTGATGTGTCTGGTCACTCTCCTTACTGTCATGGCCCAAGCAGCTGTTCCTCTCTGATTTGACTACATCGTGGGCTGCCAAAGTTTAGAAGGCAGCTTAGCTGCCAAAGAAGTAGGTAAGATAGGCAGCCTAGAAATCTGGTAGATAGATAAATAAATATATTTTCCTTCCCTTCACTCTTCTGCTATCTTTATTCTTTGTCACTATTTTTGCCTCCGATTTTGCCCTGATCTGCACAACCCATGGGGAAGGATGAGGACTGCACCCCAACAATATGTAATCTGATCCATCGGTAATTTACATTAACCCTAAAAATACCCAATTACTGCACCTGTTTATGTTAGTATCTTCACAGTCATGCTACTGCAAAGGAGGTCGTCTCTGGGCTGTATACAGTTCGTCCTCGATTTATGGTAGTTCATTTAGCGACTGAAGTTACAACGGCACTGAAAAAAGTGACTTATGACCATTTGCACACTTACAACTGCTGCAGCATCTCTTTGTTCATGTAATCAAAATTCAGACTTGGCAACTGACTCATATTTATGACAGGCGCAGTCGGGTGGGATTCAACCGGTGTTACTACCGGTTTTGCTGCGCATGTGTTGTATACCGAAAGCTGTGCCTCCCGGACAACTGACAAGTGGGTGTAGCATGTGGGTGTAGCATTTGAAAAAGCCCTTTTTTCCTGCCTTTTCAACCTCAGCTGTGCTGCGCAAAGCAGCTGAGGTTGAAAAAGCAGGAAATAAAGGACAGGTAAGAGCCCAGGTGGGCCAAACACAACAAACACAGAACCGGTTCTGTGTCTGCTGCTCTTCAGAGCTACCAGTTCTATAGAGCCCGGCAGAACCGGTAGCATCCCACCCCTGGGTGCAGTGTCTTGTAATCACTTTTGGCGACCTGGCCAGCAAAGTCAATGAGGAAGGCAGATTCACTTAACAACCTTGTTACCAACTTAACTGCGGTTGATTCACTTAACAACTGTGGTAAGAAAGATCATAAAAATGGGACACGATTCACTTAACAACTGAACAGAAAGCTTGAGCTCCATTGTGGTTGTAAGTTGAGGACTACCTGTATTCATCTCTGTGGTATAATTGTTTTTGCTTTCACCACCATGGTTGATAGGGGGTTTTGTGCCCCAAACAGCAAAATCCCCCATGTGTTTATTCAAAATTAGTCCATGCAGCCAAGGTTTATGGAGGCCTGTTTCCAGAGACAGCGTATATTGAATGCTAATTGCTACAGTTAATGACAGGGGAGGATGTCCTGGATGGACCTTTGATTGGATCCAGCAAAGTACTTCTGTGTCCTTCAGTCATCTTGTGTAGTATTATTCACTTCAAAATACATGGACCTAGAATTGTAATTTTAAATAAACCTATATTTTGCAAGAACTCAGTCTATGATCAAGGGAGCCAGCTTGGTCTAGTGGTTAAGGCAGCAGACTAGAAACCATTACCTGGTGAGCTCTGGTCCCTTCTTAGGCACAAAGCCAGCTTAGGCCAGTCCCTATCTTTTGCAGCCCTGGGAAAGAGGCAATGGCAAACTTCTGAAAAAACTTGCCAAGAAAATTGCAATTTTTCAAACAAAAACAACAGAAAAAAAATGGCCTAGAGTTGTGAATTTGAATATAGCTGTTGAAAAGCAACGTTTATGAATTTGTTTGCTTTGTTAATAATCACAACATGTGCTTCACTCACCTGGGTGCTCTCAATCTCTGCCTGTGGGCTCATGGCAGCTCTGGACTGCCCCAAGGTGATACAATATGGGATTAGGAAGTACATGACCTTGCATCCAATCTCTGATTCACTTTTTCACAGGTGCTTTTCTCTTTCCCTTGTTTGAAAGGACACCATCCTTTTACATACAGCTTCATGCCTTTGTCAGGTGACCCCTGGTCCTAGCAATACTGAAACCAGCAGATACAATACTGTAATAAGTTAAAAGTTATAAAGAAGGCATTTCCACACTAAAAATGGAGGCATGCATGCCAGGTAGCATTTTGGCACTGTCCAGGTGGTTGTTTGCAATGCCATATACCTAGGGTCGCTTTTGCATTGGACTTGGATCCTTTTAAGTGGGGCAGAAAATGTCTCCTGAAAGTTCACATCAAGATTAAGTGAGTTTGTGGCTGCCTGCTTATTTTCCAGATGTTCTTTTCTTTAAAATGCTTCAATTGTTTGAACATTTAAGTACCTGAAGAAGTGCCTTGTCTGGCTAGGTTTAAGTGTCTAATGCAAAATCCTTTTCCAGATACCTTGTTTGCATCACACATGTCATGTAACAATGGACTTGTTAAGCACTTCCTTTGCCATTTTTGTACAACCTTCCCAGGTGATTTGTCTGATGTCTACATTGCAACCTTTTAAAACATCAGGTAGATATATTGTTATTCGTGCACTTTTTAAAAATGGATTGTAAACATTTCTATTAAGATAAATCCTACATATGCCACATTTAACTTTTATACAAATTAGAAGTCCAGAAAGGTTATCATAGTACCTTCAACATTTCAGACAATAAGTGGCTTTAGGTGTTCATGTACAGGTGAAACTCAAAAAATTGCAATATTGTGCAAAAGTTCATTTCAGTAATGCAACTTAAAAGGTGAACCTAATATATGAGATAGACTCATTACACACAAAGCAAGATAGTTCAAGCCATGATCATCTCAATTATGACAAATCGGCTTGAACTATCTGGCTTTGCATGTCATGAATCTATCTCATGTATTAGGTTCACCTTTTAAGTTGCATTACTGAAATAAACTTTTGCACGATATTCTAATTTTTTGAGTTTCACCTGTATATAGGTTTATGCAGGGAATGAAGTCAAAATCCCATCTCTGTCTAGCCTACCTCGGGGTTATTCTGAACATCACCTAGATTTGGAGGGAAAAGGAAGTTGATTTATTTTTTTAGGATAAACATAAAGACAGGAATAATAACCCACTTTTCTGATGTTGCAATCCTAAACGCAAGGCGCCCTCGCAAAAGTCCCTCAGCATGTGGACCTTAACTACCCTGTGGAGATTATATGCCTACCGTTGCAATCATGATACTAACTAGGCTTTCTCTTCCATCTATTTTGTCTGAGGGGTCTTGCAAGACCTTCCTCGAAGGAAGAACCGTCCAAGATCCGATTCGCTTGGAAGACAAAGCGTTTTGCAGCCAATCCCCGAGAGCAACCCCTGGCAGAAAGCGAGCGGGGTGGGTGCCTCCTTGTCGGTTTTCGCCGAAAAGCGAACTGCACAGCGTCTCCTGCTTGAGCAGGGGGCTGGACTAGAAGACCTCTAAGGTCCCTTCCAGCTCTATTCTGATTCTAAACTGCGTCCCCCCCCCCCCCCCGCCAACCGGCTCAGGCCGTGCTCCGCTGCCACCAGAGGGCTCCGGCGACTTGCAGGCGTGCGAGAAGGGGCTGCGCTTTCTCTTCGTCTCTCTCCGCCCTGCGTCGGGCCGGGATGAGTTTCCTGTCTCGGGCGCTTGCTGCATCCGGATCAGCGGGAGTCAGCTCGCCCGGAGAACCGCGGTAGTAGCAGCAGCTGTGCCTCCTCCTTTTACACCGAACCCCCGACCGGCACCGCGCGGCGCTGGCGACCAGCGGAGCGATCTCGGTCCTGCAGCCTCCTGCTTTGCTATTCTCTCTGTCTGTCTGTGTCTCTCTTTGCTCGACCGAGGTGGGAACTCCCCTCCGGCCAAAAAAAACCACGATCCACCAACAGGGGCTCCGCCCAGGGTCTGCGGCCATTCAGCCGCCTCCGTCCTGGCCGAGCTAGATGCCCTCGGGGGATGCAGGGAGAAAGGGATAGGCGGGCGTGCAGCCCGCTAGTCCAGCCCGGCCCGCGGGAGGAAGATGGGGGGGGGCGCCGTGGGCGATTCGCGGAAGGCGCAGGTTCTCGCGTGGGAACTGCGCTTGCAGCTTCGGTTGCTCTGGCGGGCAGAAAGTGGGGTTTCCTCCTTCCCCGTTTGTGGTGTTTTCCTAAAGAGTCAGAAGCGCCTCCTCCTCCTCCCTCTTCCAAATTTCTGGTTGGGAGGAAAAGAGCCTGGGGACTTCTCTTTAAAAAAATAATAATAAAAGTAATGGACTCAAGCGAGGCCTCTTGGAAAGAACAAGCTTAGAATTGTCAGCCAGATTTTCCACCACAGACCAAGCGATTTTATCAGCAGGGAGGACGTTTCTGTTGTTCACATGCCCTGGGATCATAGCTCAGGAAAGGCTGTGTAAGAGGAGTGGGGGAAAGAAGGAGGGCTGATACTTTATTCAGGATTTTTAAAGCTGCCCACCTGTATCAGGTCTCCCCTCCCTCCCTTCCTGCTCTTTCCCACCCTTTCCTCCAGCTTGGCATCCCAGAGTCTTGGCCCTTTGAATCTCAGAAATGGGCCTAGCTGCAGCCTCAAAAAATCCTTAGGGACATCACATTGGAGAGGGATAACCTCTCTGTTTTCCACCACCCAAATCCCCTGGGAAGAGAAATAGATAGCAGTAAACAGCAAGTGTAGCAGATGATGGTGCTGTTTTGCACAGTGAATTTAATTAGATCAATTAATGATCTTGAAGCTGCAACTAGAAAACATGAACAGTTGGGTTAGCTTTAACTTTGACGCTTGGAAAGCAATATTGTCCAAACTAGGAAAGTGGGATTATTTGATACCTTAGTAGTATGAAGTTCCTGTCTGCTTTTTGCTCAAACATATCAGCTTGTTAGGGGATGGCTGAGTTTCTCTGTACTGTGAATAGGAAGGTAGGTTTGTGAGGAGGACTGGAGTAACTTTTGTTAGATAAGGAGTATAATGCAAACAAGACATATTTCACAGACAAGCAAAACTTAAAACAGCTAGTTAGATGTTTCATCTTGCTAGATGGCCGAGGTTATTATAAATATTTTTTTTTAAATCCAACTGTATATGTGTGCATGGTTTTAAAAGTAAGAACTGAGCTCTCTTTCTGTGCAAAATCTTTTTTGCAGGTATCTGGTTCTGTTTGGTTTTTTTGCAAGAAGAAAAAAAAGTCCCTGGATAATGGGGAAAAAAACTTTAAAAGTTAATGCTTTCCCAAGTTTAGTGCCCTGTTTTGGGTCACCTCCAAATATCCCCAGCCAATGTCATAAGTTTAGCAAACTGGAAATTGTGACATAATACACCTGGAAGATTCCAGGACCTGGAAGGCTATTATTATTATAAATGTTGACCTGAGGAGGGGGAAATTGTCTGGATCCTTCTGGTTTAATTAATCCCCTTCCATCCCCCTGAATGCCTGGAAGATGTGTAAAGTCTGTGTGGTTATGTAAAATAGGTTATTTGCGTTCTGGTATTATGCTGTTTGAGACATTGTTGCTTAACTAACATGGTTTAATGTAGGATGGGGCATTCGGGTTTTGAATGGGTGGGCATGAGATGGACCACAGTTGTGGAATCAGATGTATTGTGTCGGATAAAAGAAAATGGATTCTATCCAAAACCGCTTGCCTGGCCAATAGTACTATAGGATTAAGAATATAAATGTGCGAGTTAAGTTTTAGGCTGGGGCACATAGAAGCATTTTGTATTACATCTATGCCACTTTACATATTACAAATCAGCATAAGAAAATTTAGTTCCAAATATTGTGGTATTGCTTTTACAACATATCATGGTTCATGAAAGCCCTGTAGAATGAATGGGCTGGAAAAAATTAAAGCCCAGCATACATGAAGAAAATAAGGTCTGCATGTAAAAAAAAATCATACAGTATGAAATAGGGGGTCTTTTTTCCTCTCGTAATATTAGAAGCTGAAATTGGAATGGGATGGAAGACTCAAGAAGAGAGAGCTGTGGAATTTGCTAGTAGAAGATAAAGGGGTAGCCATCAATCTAGGAGGCCTGAAAGGGATTTGCCTAAATTCTTGAAGTATCAGGCTATAAATCACTGTGATGACTAGAGGTTTTACATCCTTGTAAAGAAGGAATGTGTTGCCATCCTTGGAGCCTTATGCAGAGAGTCAGTTTGGCCTAGTGGTTCAAGCACCAGGCTAAAAACCAGGAGACCGAATTCTAGGCCCACTTCAGGGTTATTGTTGTGGAGAAAATAGGAGGCAGCAAGAGCATTATGTATGTTAATACCTATCTTTATAAATAATAAAGGCAGGATTAAAAAATATATAAAATAAAAAGGGAAAGGTGGAGAGAGGGTAGACTTGTTTTAGCCATGCTTATCACAGGCATGCTCCTCCTCCAAGGTTATGTATGAACAAAATGAAGTCCTGCAGCTTCCTCAGGCATTTTGCTCAAGCGGGTAGATGAGTTTTACTATTATTAATGGTGAGTGGGGTGATTTATCTGTAGGTGCGGAGGGGCTATTTTAGTGATTTTATGTATTTTAATCTCATTCTCTACTCAAGAGTTCTTGAGTGAAATGGGCAGCTATATAAATTACACAAGTTTGACTATGATCAAGCCTAGTATCTTAACAGTATAATATCTGATACGTTCCGTTTGGTATAGTGATTAAGGCATCTGGCTACAAAATGGGAAACTCTGAATTCTACTCTCGCCTTGGGCATGGAAGCTGGCTGGGAGACTTTGAGTTAGTCACTCTCAGTCCAACTCACCGCACAGAGTTGTTGTTGTGGGGAAAATAGGAGAAGGAAGAAGTTGCATATGTGTGCTTCCTTGAGCTGTTTATAAAAAAAAATAAAAGTTGGATATATATAAATAAAGGTATAGCCTTTGACCATTTTTTGTGTTTTTAAAAATCTTTTACTATTTTTGAATTTGAGTTGTCATTTCAAGCTTATGCAACACGATAATTCAGCTTCATTTTTATTTATTTCCTGTGTGTCAGAACAGCAGCTGTTCAAATGTAGATATGTAACAGTGTATACTGTGGAGAAATTGAAGGCCATTTTCCAAGAAGTACTTACAAAATTTATGCCCTGTGTTCAGTAAAATTAGGAACAACTACTTATTTAAAAAAAGGGTATGTGTGTGTGTGAATAGTTCAAGAAATCCAGAAGGGTAGATTCTTTTGTGTGTGTGGCAACGTTTCGGCAGAATCTCATCTGCCATCATCAGGCTTCTGTATTGTGTTCGGCTGTGAGTCAGACTTTTACAGTTGTTTCGGTTTTAAATTTGGGGCTAGCCTACTGCTGTGCCAGAATGGTTTTTTCTTCATCCTGATTGGTTGGGAGTCTTGGTCTGTGTTTATTGGTCTTGGAGTTTGCTGTGTTCTGCTTGATTGGTGTTTCTAATATCTTCTGTCTGTTTTGTGGCTTTTTTTGTGTCTTGATTGGCTGGCAGATAGATAGATATATATGAATGAATGATATTGGAAAGGAAAGACAATGGGATGCTAATGAAAATGGGTCCTTGGAGTGGAAGGAGGGAAAAGGAATGGAGAATGACAGATTTACTTTGCTCAAGAATAAAAGAAATGATCCCTCACTGTTTAGGTGACAATAGACATTTGGAATAAATTCAGTGGCTCCAGGCTATTCTGTAATAATCTGGATTTAATTTTAAACTATACATTCTCCCTCCTCCCCCCCCCCCCCAAAAAAAAATATATGACAGCCAGTGAGGGAAGGCAGATTCCCTTAACAGCGACATGATTCACTTAACAATTGCAGTGATTTACTTAACAACCATAGCAAATATGTCCTACATTTAAGCGCTATTCCCTTAAGAACCACCTTGCTTATCATCAGAAATTTTGGTGCCAAAGATGGTCATAAGTCAAGGACTACCTTGCTAGTTTCGATGGAGTTATCAGATGGCTAAATTGAGTGCTTTGATCAAGGAAAAAAAAAACACAAATACTTTTGTTTCTACCTGGAAACTGTTTCTGGACTTTGTGCTTGAGGTAGAAAAAAAAAGGAAACTTTGATTTTGGGTTTTACCTATTACATAGATTGGTTGTTTGTAGAGATGGCTAGTTTAAACTACTATGTAAAAGTAAAACGTGGTTTGATGTTACTATCGTACTACACCAAAGGGAGTTGGAAGTCAATGCCTTTCCTTTCTTTTTTTTCTCCCTCCTTTTCCACACTTTTCCCTTCCCTATTTTTCCTACTATTTGCTTTTGTATTTTTTTTTTTTGTAAATTATATCATAAATTAATAAAATTAATTTAAAAGAGAGAGAGAGTGAATGTTGAAAATGGAAAAAAAAATTAGCTAAGGACTTACCTGTTCCTAACTTTAGTTTCCTGATCTAGGCTATCTCGAAAGGCTGACGTATCTGGACTCCTCCTCTTCTTTTTTTTCTCAGCAGGTAATGGAACAATGAAGGACACCAAAGGGAAGACTTTGCAAGAGAAGGAGAAGGGCTTTGAACCTCAAGTTGAGCTGCATTTCACCATATTGGAAGAATCCGAAGGAGGCATTTCTCAGGGGAAACTCTGGCCCTGCGAGATTGATGCAGGGCTACGACCCGACAGCTCCTGTCAGCCTGATCCCGATGATGAATTACTTTATTCTGATCAGTCACGGTCCTTGCCGAAAGTACAGAGGCTACAGCCAGAACCTGACAGGAGTGCCCAGGAGAGAGGAGTGGAAATGTACCCTCAGCCCGGTTCTAAGCAGCAGGTCGAGCTTCATTTTACAATCCTGGAGGAATCCGAAGGGGGCATTTCGGAAGGTAAACTCTGTGCAAGTGAGATAGGGCGGGATGAGTCGCCGGAGGTGAGCTCCCCAGAACGGCAGTGGGACAGGTCTGTTCAGTGGAGTGAGAAAGCCGGTCAGCCATCTGGTGTGAAGGAATCTCTCCCAGCTGAGGACAGACCAGAAGCTGAGGCTAAAAGGCCCGTCCTCCAGCCAGAGAGCTCTGACCAGCAGGTAGAGCTCCATTTTACCATTTTCAATGATCCTGAGGAAAGGAGACTTTCTCAGGGACCAGAGGACTATCCGGTCTGGGAAAGCCCATTTAAACCAGCGCTTTATCAAGGTGACTATCCCAAAGAAATTTGGGATGCATCCATTGATAGTCTTGGAGATGTCTTTGAAGCATCTTTCCAGCAGCAATTCTACTCCGAAGGAAGGCTACACCCCTGTACCGAATGCGGCCGAGTTTTTAACCGGAAGTCAACCCTGACCCGACACTGGCGGACCCACACTGGTGAGAAGCCGTACTCATGCCTCTATTGCGGGCGGAGTTTCAGCCTGAATCTCAATCTTCATACCCATCAGATGACCCACACGGGAGAGAAACCCTACAAATGTCCAGACTGTGGGCAAAGCTTCACCCGTAGCACAAGTGTCACCAGGCACCAGAGAAGCCACAGAGAGGAAGGCCTTTTCAAAAATGACTTGTGGGAGGATGCTTTCCCGTACCCGGTCCCGGTTCCCTTCACTTACCCGATGCCTCTTCCGGTGGAGGAGAAGTCCTTCGTGTGCCCCATTTGTGGGGAGGCCTTTACTCACGGTGGGAGCCTGAATAGGCACTTGCGAACACATGGGGTGGAGAGGCCTTATAAGTGCATGGTCTGTGGGGAAGGTTTCTGTTCTATGTCAAAGCTTTACCGGCACGAGAGAATCCACATGGTGGACAAGCCCTACCACTGTGAAATCTGCGGGAAGAGCTTTGCCGTCAAGTCAACGCTGACCCGGCACCAGATGCTCCACCAGGCAGAGAGGCCCTACATGTGTTCCCACTGTGAGAAGGGCTACGTTCAACGGAGTCACCTGGCCAGGCACCACCACAAGGCACATCCTGGGGTCCCCTTTAACCCAGTTAAAGCGAACACTATGCCTGCCACCATTCTGGATTCTGACAACTTAATCACCTATTTCTGGGGGGATGAGGATATAGACACTACCCCAGAGCCTGTCCCAACTCAATTGATCTATTCTGGAGCAGATTGCTGAAGGACTTAATCCTAGTCTGGAATTCCCCGTTCTCCAGAGAGAACCTTGTCTTCTTAAATCTCCATGCACTGGGATGCTTCTGATCTCACTGTTTGGCGACACGAAGTGGATTTTTATGGTAGAAAATCAAATAAACCAACTTGGTTTTGTTGTGGACCCTCTTTGTGCCAAGACCCTTGTCCTGCCTTGTTACTCCTCATGCCCATATGCCACATCCACATCTCCAGAAGATATGCCATTGTTATGGTCCCTTGCAGTCCGCTACAGATGGTGCCAGTATCCAAGTACTTGTAGGAGGCAGAGTCAGCAAAGAATAAGAGATGGGCAATCAGCACCCTTCCTTCCAGGCGGAACCTGCTCATACAAATTTCTCTTAACTGGTGAACAGAACAGAAGCTGTGTGCCATAGTTCTGGGCTCAAAGAACACCTGTATTATCTCTTGATGCAAATCTTCACGGGGAAAGGGAATAGTCCAGCCTGTAGCAAGATATCTAGTTGTAGGTGACATGTGGGAGCTTGGAAATTCATCTGAAACCATTTTTGTGTGTAATAAGGATGTCTGTGGAGATTCTCAACCATCCCTGTCATGGTTATCCCAAAGGTGCTTTTTGGAAAAGGCAACTGGACTTAGTTTTTCCTTTCATTTCCCTTCTTATCCAAGAAGCTTCTTCGGTTCTGACTGTAGTAAGGATGGGGATTTTTTTTCCCTTAAAGGAAGCCTCTGCCTTGTTTTACTTCTTTTGGGGGGAGGGGGGTGTAATGGATGAACTTTTAAGAGAAATGAGTAAAATATAGAAACAGAGAAAACATATCTAAAGGCTATTATTTGATGCACAAACCAGATGTCCTGTAAGAAATGTCTAAGATCTAGGCAGAATATAAATATTTTGAAGAAATAAATACAGGAATATGATGATACAGAATTCTTATTTTCTATTTTGTTTTCCTATTCTCCAAATTTTCCCGTTGTCATCTGAGCTGGTGGACTATCACTAGTGCAGCTTTAAGATTTGCAAGTTTCAAGAAAAACAACAGAGTCCAAGGGCCTCTTGCTCATTCTAGGCCTACATCCCGGCTCCATTACTCCACCCACCCATCCACCCACCCAGAAATAGACAAATTGTGCATGCTTGTAAAATAACAGAACATAAATGTTGTTCCAAAAAGGGTTGCCTTGCCTTTTATATATAGTCTTCTTTCACCATATAATTTAATTCCCATATTAGGGAGGTGGGGGTAATGCCTATTGCCTAAAACTCTGGAAACTCCAGGCAGAGTCTGAAGCACCTTGTTCGACTATCACATTGGACCGAAAG